AATTAATGAATTGCAAAACCAAATAAAGCTGGCATTGATGATCTTTGACATCACTTAAAAGTGACTTGAATAAGTTATTGTTGCGCACTTGTTCAATAGCAGAACGCATAGGGGCCGATGACTGTGGCAGCAAGGAAAGTAAAGAATCCACAAGAACATCCATCAATTCTGGTGCTGCATCACCATTTGACTCGTCTTCTCCAGATGAGTTCGGGATCATCAGGAGCTGCAGAAGCTTTCTTACAACATATGATAAGCTCAGAGGCTGCATCGCACAATTCTCCAGGTCGGAGAAGCACTTGGAGTATAAATAGGATGAGCAAGCACCTCAATGCATGCAATTTACTTGCATCATTGCCGAGACCGCAATTCCTTTCCTGCCATTATTTAAGCATTTAGAAACAGTATATAATTGCAAAAGTAGGAAACAAGTTCATAACTAAAGTTACAGATTCATTACACACAAGATCAACAGTTAAAGAAGCATTCCTATTGTAATTCACCAAGGATAAAGCCATTTTCCTCCACATCAATATACCACAAACCAAAGTGCTAAAAATATATTTACAAGGGAGTAACAACACTTACCTAACCGTTGCGAGACACCACAAGAAGGTATAATACAAATCGTTTGAGAACTTGGATCTATTAAAGAAAATAACCTCAAAATTGGGAACATGCCAAAAGCATTTCTTTTTTTTATCGTAAATGATGAGATCACGCTTACCTCTTTATAAAGTTTACTCTCCATTTCTAGCAATTTTGTGACTGACAGTTTATCCTCATCACTCAAAGTTCGAAATAAAAAAACTGAAGGAATATTGCTTAATGTGCTAAGGAACCGCATGAAGTAGGAACCAAGGTCATTTGGCTCAAGTGCATTAGCCAAAGATCGTAGCTCTTCTACCTTTCGAACGCTTGCCAGCAGTGATTGGAGTTGTTCTATGCAAATTTTGCAAAGAGCAATTGAGGTTGTTGTTTTCGGCCATCTAAATTTCTCCTGTAGTTCAAATGAAGTAACTTCATTACCAAGAGATGCAGAGAATAGACCATGTACAGATAGAAACTTCAACATTTCCCTTTGCAGTCGGAATTTTGCTTCAGGGTCCTTTAAATGTTTCAGAACACTGGGAAGTGACTCTATGACCCAGCCTTTCAAAAAATCAGCATTCCCCACAATTCCAACAGAATCCTTGTCCTCAATTGAACCAATCTCAGAATTCTCATCGGTTGTTTAACTCTGATCTGAAGGCTCCTCGGAAGCATGATCTTCATCCAAAAACAAGTTAATCAAGTTCTGAACAAACAGCATGCAACCAGTCTCTGTTTTGAACTCCGCCATCATATCTTTGATTGTTTTTGTTTTCGTAATGCAATCAAATTTTCCACTGCTGTGGCAACAGTAACAGCTGCTCGTCTGACATCGTCATTCCTAACCCAGTCTAATAATTCTTTAAGAAAATGCTGCGCAACTTTATAAAGCCAGGAATATTTTGTTTAAAGTATATCCATCAAGCACTGAATAACTTTGGAGAACAAAACAATCGGTATAAAAGAAGACGGTAATCTAGGCAGGAGAAGAAGCAGAATATCAAATGCTAAGTGTTTACGATCATGAGATGACAATAGGAGGGATCTTTCAATAACAATATCACAGAATGTTTGGACATTATTTGCAATTTCTTCTTCAGAAGGGCTAGATTTGCGACCCTTTTTGTGTTTTTTAAGGAACTAGAAGCACATGCTGCATCTTCGGCCTGCAGAACAGTATTAGGTAGGAGTATATTTACCAGAACAGGCGACAAACTATGGACCCGGGGTTGACAAAATGTAGATTCCTGTCATGTTACATACCAAAAAAACTTTAGAACATATTTAAACCTTAATTTTCTCAATAACGATGTATAGATGCATAAAAAATTACCTTCAAGCAGTTACTAATTGAGGATAAATAGTCAGCAGAGAAAAGTCTGCTTGGACTGAATGGAATTGGAAAAAGTTTGCTGAATTTGTCAATGGATGTTTTTTCATGAATTCTACCAAAAAAACTTTAGAACATATTTAAACCTTAATTTTCTCAATAACGATGTATAGATGCATAAAAAATTACCTTCAAGCAGTTACTAATTGAGGATAAATAGTCAGCAGAGAAAAGTCTGCTTGGACTGAATGGAATTGGAAAAAGTTTGCTGAATTTGTCAATGGATGTTTTTTCATGAATTTTTAAAGCTAACAGCAAAGCATCAGGATTTCCAACATCAACAGCTTCTTCAAACCACTGAGGAACTCCGGGAGCTTCAAGAATATGATCCAACAATGCTTCAACAGGCAGCTGCAACATGTAGAAGTGTTCCATAAAGACTGAAACATATACTTAACACATTGAACGCATTCATAAATTGCAATAACAGTTTCGATACTGTAAATGAACCTTGACAAGACATACATACAAATGAGAATACTTGGAACCACCAGTATGATGATCGGTAACCAACAGATGTATACAGTTCTTGGAGGTTATAAAGACAAAATAAATGAACTAGCAAGAGCATAAAAAAAAAAAACAAAAGCAAGGGTATTAGAAGGCCTTGGCACAACATCCATCCAAAAGAGTAAAAGAAATTATTTATAATGATGCACTTAGAAGCCATTGCAACCAGCACATAGTATTAATTTTGGCATAAAATTAAAAATAAAGAATAAATAAACCCCCGACATCAAACTAGGAAAAATATTAAGTTAGCAAAGGTTCAGAATTATTACAGATCCCCCACATCCTGGCAGAAAAAAGTATGAACATCACGACGAAAAACTCTTATCACTTAATCAGAAAATACCTTTTCAACAATTTCTAAACTGATGGAAACTGAAGACTCCTGCAAGTAAGGGAGATAAGAGCACTCATAAATTCACTCATAAATTCCTTGATGATACGAGTATCTTACCAGAAAACCACTCTTTAGTGAGTCTGCCAGATCGGGTAATAGCACCATATGCAAATAAGCAACCCAGAAGGCAATCCCTTACTTCCTACAGAATCAAAGCTAGTTATTGAGCGCAAGGCTCTTAACCTTGTGGTCGTGGGATCGAGTCCCACGGTGGGCAATTCATAATTCTGATTGCCGGAGGTCTCCCACGGAAGCTGCTCTCAACCTGACGTTGGGGCAGCCTACTATCCTACCTCCCATTACCCCATTACACATGGGAATAGGGTCAGCTAATTAAAAAAATTATTGAGGAAAGCAAGCCTACCTGACCCTTCATTGATGACGAGACCTCCAATAAATTAACTATAAGTTTCAACAAGGAGTCCACTTTGATGCTAGGAATTGTAGCTACCAAAGCAGTCAAACCCAATGCAAAACCCTGTTTAACACACTGCAAAACAAGTTGAAAAACATAATATCAGCCACAAGCCAATTTAAGTTATTTTATTGATGACCAATTATACTGTGCAAGATAACAAGTACACTTCAGGTGCTGGATGTCAGACTATATTCAAAAGATAACTTAGGTGACACAAGGAAAGCATATTTAAGTTGATTGTTCGAAGTGTTCTAGGTAAGGTTGCTGTATTTTTCAGACATGGGTAAAGCAAAGCAGCTAAATGCAAATTGAAAAAAATAGGAAAGCTATGACTTCCACAGTTTCAAAACACCCTCAGCCAAGTCCTTATTCTCGAGCCTATCATATGCCTTCTGAACCTCCTGCAACTTTGACACCATTGTTCGGGGACATGTTCGGGGATATGGAACTCCTGCTGAGGCCAAGTCCTTAAAAACGCTGATATGGAACTCAGGCAAACTACTACTAGGTGAAGAGGCCACATGTTCGGGGACATCATTCCCTTTCGATTCAACAACCACTTGTTTTGCCCGAGCCCCGAGGCTCCTCATTTTCTAAAACCGAATGCCTCCTCTCCTTGTCCATTTGTTTCCTCTTCTTTTTCCTCTCCATTGGCTTAATGGAACCAGCAGCAGCAGAAGATGAAGCAACCACATCTCCCATATCTGCATCTTTTTTGTTATCCATGTTAATTTTCTTACCAGAATGCACCAAAACCGTATTATCCGTAGCTAAATAAGTTTGACCCTCAAGAGCTTCTACCTCAGATTGAGTACTTCTTTTCTTGCTACACATTAAGAACCCAATATCTGAAAACCGACCGGAATTATAACATGGGAGACTCGAATATGTGAGTTTGAGTCTAAGACAGCTCGTGCTTCGATCAGATGAAACCAGGCCACCGAAAGAAAGATCAAGACTCGATGAAGTAATTGGCGAACGAGATTTGCATTGTCGCCCTCGACAAGAACATTAGGCACAATTACAAACTAATAATAAATTAAATGCATAAAGTAACTTCAGTGGTAAGAGAGTGTTATTATTCCTTTTGTATTTGAGCAGTTGCGTCCATCTAATGTATGTATTATCAATAATTAAAAAAATTATAAATAGATATACTTTATAATAACCTCATATTACTAGAAAAAAAGAAGAAGATAACAGTACACAGAAAAAACATCAAATATACAAAACAACCGAAATGATAATTCACAATTAGCATCGAATTTAAATTGCAATAAGCCTTAAAAAAGTTATTTGTACAGTTAATTTTTTTTAATTTAAAAATCACATTTACAGTTAAACTTTCAAAAGAAAAACGTCGTGGCATAGGCATACAACAGAACCGGGTTTCATGATTTCATCACCTCTAAGCTTAGTTTGCATAAGGTTACACTTAACAAAAAAACACCACTTTTTTTTTTTGGTCAGCTCCCGAGTCAACAGCCTCTTTCATGGATTCCGACGGTTGTCCACATAAATGATGTTAGGTAGGGATGGGCAGAAGAGATTTTAGGGAATATAATCGTACTTTCAGAAATTTTAAATTACCACGTATTTTGGATATATTTTTTAAAATTTTCTGCTGTTTGCATTCATGAAATATTGTAATTTTGTATCTCTATAATTTTAATATAAATTTCTAAATTCATACCCTAACATAAAATACTGCGTCTGTTCATATATGATTTGAAGTCCCGTTTCTTATACCAAGTCGTTACTTTGGTATAGAGAGGCGGAAAAAGGAAGCATAGCAGCACCAAGAGCAACACTACTACACAAAGAATCATGACATTGATGAAACCGTCTTTTACTTCGGGCTTATTCTGCATGGTCCACGGAACTCCACCCACATTCATTCCGAACACTGAAAAATATTCAACGGAACGCAATGAATTCAACTCGTATGTAGATTGTCAGGGAGTAATGTGGATAAAAATCGAGGTATTACCTCCGGTGATGACTGATAAAGGAAGGAATACGATGGAAAGGAAAGAGAGATAATAGAGTTTTTTGTTGATTTGCTCCGACTGCCATGTATCCAAACCAGTCTGAATCGTGGTGACACGGTTCGATAAAAATCCGACGTTCTCTTTCAGCCTCCTCAACCGTTCAATCAGCCCTTCGAGGGACTTGATGTCTTGGCTTAAAAACCATGGTTTGGACCAACATTTTTCCTTCAATAGGGGAAATACTTGCACCCCGTGGACAATCACCTGAAATTTGGAGAAACAAATATCAACGAAGAGAATAGCGGTGTAAATGAATCGAGTTTTAACTAATAAGATTGTCTTTGTGTTTGTATATTTATTTATGAAGGTGTTTATGTTTTGTTAGTGTTTGTTGGTTTATTTTTTAAGGTATTCATATCCGTTCGTTTAACATTCACGTACATGTTCATTTAACGTTTGTGAATATGTTCGTTTAACGTTTATCATGTGTTTGATTTAGTTCAAACATTCACCAATATTTAAAATATAAAAATAAAAAGAAAATGAGAACTAATTAAATGAACCAATAAATAAGCTTGTAATCGAGCCAATGAATGAGCTTTGAAAAAAAAACTTGTTCGTGAATATAAACGAATCGAACACATATTTGTTTGTGTTTGTTTATTAAATGAGCATCAAAATTTTGTTCATTATCATTTATTTAACTTAATAAACGAACAATTAACGAATAATTTATTGAACACTTCGATTATTTACGCCCATAAACGAGAGTTTAATTGCACAACCGTGGATTCTCATAGAAAGAGGCAAAGATAAATTACCTGCAGGAGACGTTGCAAATTTAGATGCATTTTGGGGAATCGTCTATCGTCTAGCATCTCTATCTTCAAAGCAAATCCACCTGAGATTAAGCAGATCTTCATCTACAGATAGCTTCTTTGCCAAGATAAAATGTGCAGTACATATTTGACATGAAAGGAATCATGCAAGTATTTATTCGAATAAGGGGTTGAACAAATTCTGTTTATACAAAATTTTACCTCTATCCAACTCAAGCTCCACTGCTTCTAGCTCCATCTCGAGTTTCGTAACAACATCCTGTAGGTGATCGACGTGCGTGTCGATGATGTGAACCACAAGGTTCGAGATGGATTTTGGAACTGGATTATCGGCCTCCTCGGAGTGATTCATTGTGAATAAGAACTCTAGTACATGTTCTTTAATAACAATCCCACTCCCTCCCTTCTCTCTTCTATTATTATATGAATTTTCCACACAAGGAATCTCCGAGAGAAGAGATTGACCTGTCGGCGAGAAGCCTAGTCTCGGAACACGTCCCAGGGACACGGTGATCACGGAATTCTCGGTGATCCTCGCGGCTATTCTAAATGTAAAACTACTGCAAGCAGGGCCAGGTGAATTAACCCGAAAGACGAGTGCTCCGTTGACATGTCCGCAAAATGGGCCATTGCTAACGAGTGAGAGAATGTCTTGGAGGTTTAAAGGTGGACAAAGAACATCTATAAGGTATTGTGCGGATAGAGAACACTTTTGTTTCACTTTCAGTAGTTCTACATGGTACCAACAAAACTCATTGCCTTCACCCTCGGTAAGATCCCAGTCCTTGTCGAAATAATTCCCGAGACCGTCGAAAAAATACGCCTTCTGTCTCACCATACCGGGAAAATGTGTCGGAAGCTTGTCCAAGACTGGAAGAGCAGTAGAAGATGACTGCCTAACCAATCCCACCGTTTCTCCATCCCCAGACGGTACTTCCTCAGCTAAATCCATAACTTTTGGCCAATGAAGTTTACAGAATACAATGAATTAAATCAATATTGCACAACTCAGAGAATTTCTAATGCAACCCAATGGGGGGCTTCAGATCATTCAAAGAAAAAACTGCTTCTTGAAGGTAAAATGTAGATTTTTCTTTCTTTCAAGTTTCAAAAAAAGGGTGATACTGATGGCAGAAAATTGAAAAAAGAACAGTTTGAAAAGAACAAAGGAGTAAAGAAAATCTGCCAATACTAATCACAATTATGCTTTAGTCGTGATTAGTACAGGCAAATTAGATAAGAATGAGAAGAAAATTTCAGAGATTAAAGAAGGAAAGAAAGATCTATGCCAAGAACAAATGAGAAGCGGGAAAGAAATAGATAATTCATGATGACGAAACAGGGGAGAGAGCTATATTCATGGGAACTCGATGATTGATTGAGTTATTGCTTTTATTATCTCCTTCTTCTTCTAGTTTTAGACCTTTATGTATGTTTTGACCCAGCAATTTGCAATGGGAGGGTCAGAAACACTCAAGATTTGCCACAAGTTCCGAACTGTTTTTTTTTATGCGGCGAACCGTTCTTTCTTGAATTTCGTGATTTATTTTCATGACGCTTGTAAATATAACGAAAATATAAACTATTTCAAATACCATCAAACTTTAAATGCTGACTCATCTATAAAAGAATTTCTTACACAAAATAACGTCATTTTGAGCATTTTAACATTAAAATAATTGCATTAAAATAACGTCATTTTAGTGAGGTAGCTACAACAATAATAGTTAGTTATGTCACGGTGTACACCTGCCATGTCATCATTTCGTTAAATTATTAACAACGAAATGAAATAATTAAATGTAAAACTATAAGTTAATATTAAAATTGACAAAATTAAAAGTTTGATTGTATAAGCAAGTTTGCACTCAAAATTTGATAGTATCTACAATAATTTCCCTTTAAATTATAAAATATATTTTTATGTGGCATATTTACCTATAATAATTCACATTTATAATAATCAACATATAAATGATCTTATATATGTGACGAGATATTGTTATTAACATATATTATTTCCGCTCAAATCATAATACTAAACTAAAATTTTAGAAAAATATTAATTATTTATTACACATCATATGTAATAATTAAATTGAAAAAAATTCTGAGTCATTCACCAAAAACCCTTGTCATCTGATATTTTAAATGAACTTCAAATATTGTTCAATGATCTAATAGTTAAAAACCTGGATAGTACAATAGGCCCAATTAAGACTTGAGAGGATCAACATATTAATCCATTGATCTTATGATGACATTGACTCAGCTCATTAAAGTAAACACTTTGTCTCGCACAAACGTGATTCTTAAATATTTGATACATAATAAAATTAACATGGGATAAAGAATTTGTAATTCTAGATTAATTTAAAAATAATATTTTATATAAATGTGAATAGTATGATTATATGGTAATGAATTATGTTTAGTATAGTTATATGTGATATAAAAATGTATGACATCGGTAATAATGATTGATATTTATATGAAATTAAAAATGTATTCATTTTTATTAATTTGACCTTATAAATATGATTAATTTGTATATCTCTTTTTTTCATGGTCACTGCCATTTTCTTTTCTTCTTTATCTTTGTGGTCGACGGCGATACTAGTCTTGGTACTGATTGCCGACAGTCGATATTCATTATTTTCCATTTGTTTTATTATAGCGTATCTTTGTTTTTTTATTCTTAATAATCATGCATTTTTGACACGTATTCTTCTGCCTTTATGACGCGTTTTTCTCTACCTATATGGCAAATTTTCAGTTTTCTTTTCTCTGTCGTTGTTTTCGTTTATTTTTTTAGGGTTAGATTTGACATCGCCACGATTGATCAAGATGATGCTTATTTATTATCATGATGATCTTCCCTATTTTGGACCATCGAATTGAATTTGGATATGCGATTTGTGTTAATGGATAGTATTTTCACATCGTTCAATTCTGATTTGTGGTATGTTTATGGTCTTTCAATAGTTTTATTTTTTTTGGTTCGTTTGCCGATGCAATCAAATTTATTTGTATTTATCTCTTGTTCGAGTTTATTTGGTTAGATTTTTTAACATTTTCCTTGTACGATCAGTTTTCTTGTGTTTAGGAAAATATTCTTATTATATATTTAGTTTATAGTTGTGTTGTAAACCTTCATTATAATTTGTATATTTTTAATCTTTATTAAAATTGCCATCTTCTCTAAAAAAAATAATTAATTTGTCTTTGTGTATATATGTTACATTCATATATTATTTATAATTATATATTTTTTAAAATATTTATTTTTAACAATTAACAATTTATTATTTTATAGTTTGTTATATTTTTTAATTTTTAATCTTGTTTTAGTGTTTTTAATAGATATACAATTTTTAATAATTTAATAATTATTTTTTTAGTATTTTTATATTTACCTTTTCTGTTTGAATATTTTTATATTTAAAATTTAAAATTTAAAATAATTTATTTCTAAAAAAATTAAATAAGTCTTTGAAGTTTCTAAAAAAATCAATTAGCCACTGAAACTAGATCAAAAAATTAATTTAGTTCTTCTGTCATGTCATCATCCATCGAGGACTATACGTCGGCACCTTGAATTGTCACATCAGTATTATAATGATCAACGTTAAGTTATATTAGTTAAAGAGTTAAATTGATGTATTTTTTTCAGTTTAAAGGTCACATTGAATAAAAAAAATAAGGATCATATTTATTTTTTTAAAAAAAATTGAGGATCTCAGGTACAATTAAACCTATAATAAACTATATATAAAAAAAACACTTTTATTATTATTCACATTTAGGAGAAACATAAAACTTTTACAACAAGCAAATGAAATGAAATTTAATCAATCTCGAGGAGCAAACAAAAGAGATGCAGATGGAGAAGAACTCGAGGTTGAAGTAATCTGTGATGAATTGGTGCTACCGCTATAACTGCTGTGGCTTGAAAATTGGTTTAATGGGGGAACATTAAATGGAGGAGCGTAATACGTCGGCACCGGCATCTTCGACGGAAGAATCGGCAATGGAGCTTCAAAATTAAGTGCATGAATCGCTTGCTGTATTGACGGCCTCGAATTCTCATCTGGGTGCGCGCACCAAAGCCCAGCGACCATCAATTGCTCCATTTCTTGCTTTGCAAATTCTCCTTTAAGCCTTGGGTCGCAAGCTTCGAGCAATTGGGCTTTTCCATAAAGATCCCAAACCCACTCCACCAAATTCACTTTACCCTCACTGGCTTTCGGTTCGATCGGTTTCCGTCCGCAAGCGAGCTCCAAAGCAACGACGCCGTAGCTATAAACATCTGATTGTTTGCTAGCTTTTCCAGCCATATGACATTCTGGGGCAAGGTACCCCATTGTGCCAGCCAACACGGTGGTTTGCGACCCTTTCGAATGATCCACGAGCCTTGCGAGACCGAAATCTCCGAGCTTGGCGTTGAAATCAGAGTCCAACAAGACGTTGCTTGATTTGATATCTCTATGCACCACACATTGTTGCCACCCTTGGTGTAAGTAAAGCAGTCCTGAGGCTAGTCCTTGAGCGATTCTGAACCTTAATTCCCATGGCAATAAGCTGTTATAGTGGAAAAGGTGAGAATCTAGGCTACCATTGGGCATGAATTCGTAGACGAGGAGGAGCTCTTTGTTTTCGTGGCACCAGCCGATGAGTTGAACTAGATTTCGATGCCTTAATCGGCTTATGATCTTTACTTCAGAAGCATATTCCTTTATACCCTGTTTTGATCCACTTGAGACTCTTTTGATAGCAACATAGGAGCTTGTGTCCTTTAAAAATCCTTTATAAACACCCCCAAATCCTCCTTGCCCGAGTTTCCCGACATCTTGGAAATCATCAGTCGCATGAACCAGTTCCTTGTATGAAAACTTCCTCGGTCCGGTCCCTCTCTCGAATTCATCATCTATTTCCTCATCAATGGCATCACCATTGTCTTTATCTTTCGAAATCTTGTTCCTATAAACAACAGCAAGCCAAACTAAAACCATCCCAACAACAGAAGCACCGGTGATCCCAAGCCCCACGGCCAAACCTGTTCTGCTTTTCCTTCTTTTGCGGTTATGTTCCGGTCCCGGTGGTGCAGTAGTAGTCGTATCAATAACAATATCCGAGCTTGAACTGAAATCCCAAGAAGAAATTTTATGTATGGAGGATGCATTTCCCGTGGCCGCTGAGAATCCGAAAGTTACCTTTTCAGGCAAGTAAAGTCTTAAATCGATGATAGCACTAAGGTGTTGCATGACTGTAGTATTATTTCTGAATCCAGTGAAGGAAACGCTTAAATTATGAGTCCTAGAATCATAAATAATCCAGGCTTCATTTGTTCTCCCTCCCCTGATATCGCTCCACCATGTTACATTAGTCACTGATTTCATGGAATTGACATCGATACCTACATGTTCATGCTTCGGATCAAAAGCATTCTGATAAATATCGAACTCCACCGCTACGAATCTATTGACAGTTGTGTTTAGCTGCATACCGTCACTTGCAAGGCCGAGATTTCCACCTTTCGTGACATTATCGGGGATCCTCGAACCTTCGGGTGCAAGAAAGAATGCAATCCCATCTCCATAAGAAGATCCGTTTTGTGAATTGATGACGAAGGTGAAATGGGTATTGAAATCCGTGAGATTCCTAGAGGCTTCATCCCATAGGAGCAACGGTTCGTGGTACGTAGCTCGGCCAACACTCGCGGTCATCTGAATATCTCTCTGGTTCGCTGTAAGCTGAATGACCTGGCTAGCAGGGTAAGCATTTTCGTAACTTATGTTGTTGTTGTTGGTAGCGAAACTCGTGAAGTTGAAGGATATTGCGTTCGAGAATGGATGAATCAGGGAAAATAAAACGGCGATGATCGAGAGCTTTACGGTTTTCGAGCTGCCGGTGGCCATTAGTTGCAGGAAATTAAAGTTGTAAGGTCTCCTACTTCACCTAGTATTGTAATCTGTTGAAGAACAAGTCGTGGTATCAATTTGTCTCTTTTATTTATTAAAATAACCACTAGTCTTCGTACCTAAATCTGTGGTCATTTTCATTAAGACAAAATGATCGTGTTCTTCGATGTTCAAAAGTCAATTTCCGTGTGCTACCATTATGATGGTTGATGCAACTGATTCAGAAAATATAAAACAATGGGTGGTCTTATTGCATGTTTGATGAATGGTGATTGTGAAGGACCCGTGAAAATAAATGTATATTATGTGTCGGTGGGGTCTAGAAGGACAACTTCAAAGCCTTATTCCAAAAGAAAAGAAGAAGAAGAATTGCAAAGGCAAGCATAACAGGAGGGTAGATCCAGAAGATTGTTCAAAGAAGGAGGGCTCTATATGATCAACGCATAAGAACAAATCTTACAACTTTCCGAATTGGTATGCTAAGCAAGAGAGTACAATATTACAAGTAGCCTTTTACCTTTAAAACATACAAAATGTATGAATTTGAAGAGGAGGCTAACAATTTATAAAAAAGAAAAAATGGATACCTTTCGATCACAAGAGAGTTTATTTATGCAATTCAGATCCATTAATGATTTTATCTTTATAGAATCTTGTTCAAAGAGATATTCACTGTCATACTTTAGGTACAAAAGACATGAATCTGCAATCTAACTACAACACTAATCGCAGGTACTCCAAATACAATATTTCCTTTTTAAGTAATCTCCATTGATTATTTAGCATTTACTGTAAACATAATCTTCAAATCTCTCAACACAACATACAATGATTTTCAAATATTTCGATTTGCGTGTGTTGGGAAAGAATAAAATAATTAAATAAAATTGATCTAATTTATAATAAGACATGTCATTTGGTGAATAGATTTATTATAATAAGTAATGTGATTTGATGAATAGATTTATTTTTTAGTTTAAAGTTGCAGTCATCCAGTTATACTTATTAATTTTCATCAATGTTTTTTTATAAAAAAGGTTTTAACTCTTCCTCAAAAGATCTTAACCTTTTGATTCATTTCTCCTCCTCTATAAATAGGTTAATTGAGACACAAATCTTAGACACAAGTTTAGAACTTTGGAATATGAAAACATAGAAAACTCCTTCCAAATTGGTTTTTTTCATTGACAGAGAAATCTAAGATTGTGTTCAATTGATCACTACTGTTGTGATCATTTGTTGTTGTATCTTGGGACACCGACGTCCAACGTTACTTAAAACACTGAGGCGATGACGGATTTGTCTTAAATAAATTATTCATACAGATCTTAATATAATTCCTCTTTTGTTTATATGACTCTACTCATGTGACTCCATATCTAAATACGAGTAAACAAGTTCATTTACTTTAATTTTGTATTTATTTTGCTTCATTCAATTTATATAATAATTTATCATTATTATTCTATTTCTCGGATTAATATTTTGTCTACTAATCTTTATATATATTATATTATTTTGTGATTTTAATCTGAAATGATCAAAGTCTTTTTTTAATATTTCAAGTCGATTATGTTTATAATATCAAATATTATTCATAATTAAATCTTAAATCATTATTTCTCAATATAAAATTTCAGCATTCTAATAAACTACCCCTAAATGACCCAAAACCATATAAACCCTAAAAAACAAACGAACATACCATAAACACCTAAACCCTTAGAAACCCTAACCCTCATAACCTTAAACCATCCAAAACCTCTAATTTAAAATAAAAACAGAATGAGGTAAATTTGAGAAAGACATTTTTAGCCAAACATGTATTTCCTCTTTTCTAATTGTTTAGGTTACATAAGACGAATAGACGCTCAGTTAAATGATTTTCTTCGAAATATATGGTTGATAAAGCACATATTTATACTGCATATAGCGATGAACAGAGGAGGTATCGGAACGATTGCACTCTTTGAAAAATTTAAATTCTCATATAGTTTAGATATTTTTTATATAATTTGTATTGATGATCTAATTCCGTACTCATAGAATTTTATAATTGTACACTCCTAAATTTCTAATATAATTTTTGAAATTTTTTACTTCTATCATAAAGTCATATGTTTGTCTCTGCTTATGATATAATATTATTTTAATAAAAATATCTTTAAAAGATGCCATGTTCATAAAAAATGATATATTTTTTATGCAAATAAAAACCATGTCAATTTTATTAAAAAAAAGAAATATTCAAAATTACAATGAAAGTTTACAACTAAACATAAACTAAACACATAATTAGGATATATCCTATAACCATTGACATAAAAAACTAGTCACTTGTGATCATACATGGATCATATATAGAAAAAGTTAAAAATCTATAAAAAAAAAATTGAACAAAATATAGATACAAACTTATCTGACTGCATCAACAAACAAATTGCAACATGAAATCAAATTACTGAAATACACCGACAATAAAAAAAATCAGAATCGAGAGCGTTGTGAGGAAACTATCTCCAAACACAAGTTGCATATCACAATCTAATATGAGAGTCTAAAGTATGAAAGATCAATATATTGATAATTAAACATCATCTTAATCAATAGATACGACATCAAATTCGATCATGAGGAAATTAAGTAAAGATAACATCTAAACCAATCGATAAAGAAAACTAAAATCGTGTTTAAAAATAAAAGAAAACGTGTCATAAAAAATATGTTATAAAAAAGATTATTTATATAACAAAAACTAAGATATAGAAGAGAAACAATAAATGTGACACACGAAAAATAAAAGCAATTCACAAAGAACACAGTTAAATAAATGAGTTTATTATTAGTGAGTGGTCAAGAGAAGAGATGGATTTGACTTTGGCAAATAAATCATTTAAACTATTTTGTGAAATGCACCTTGATTACGCTAATGGCTTCCCAGGCGTCCCTCTCCCATTAACATTTGGAAAATACAATGGCATTTCGCAGTAAGTTCGTTATCTTCCACCTAACTGGGATTTGCTTATCTATCCTGCTCTCCCCTCCCAAATAATTGTTGAATATTGTTTTTCAACAATATTTTCTTCATGGGCGGCTAGCATTAATGGGGGCTGGGGCTGTTAATTTTTTCCCCAAATTTGCATCACACTTTGGTTGAATTTGGTTAGGGATAATTACCAAAATTTAGTCCCTAAACTTTAGGATATTTATAAGATTAGTCTTTAAGCTTCAACTATAAATACCATATCTCATTTAACTTCAAAATCATCCCAAATCATTCTAGCTTTCTCCCAATACTAGAGAATTTAGAGAGTTTCTTGATAGTTGTTTTCTCCTTTTTTTATCAAGAGAGAATTATCATTGTTTTCTCCTTGGTCGATCGAGAGAAATTGTAATTCCTATTTTCTCATAGTGAAATTCTTCTACCGTTGCCTGTGGTTTTTTTACCCTATATTATTTAGGAGTTTTCCAAGTAAATTCCGTGTCTATTTTAACTTTATTTTTATTTTCTCAAATTATCAGTTGTGATTTTACTCTATCTGATAGCAGTCTTCCGCAACAATTGATATCAGAGTCAGATTTGAGTGTGTAAATATATATTTATTGTCTTTGTGGTTGCCACCAAAAGGTGGATCCTCCAACATAAGAAAGTAAGAAGGTATTACCCATTCTTTGAAGGTTCCAGAGAACTATTCACGATAGTGAAATAGTGAGAGCTATCCATAATAGAAGCTATGTCAACGAAATTTGATATTGAAAAATTCAATGGGAGAAATTTCTTATTGTGAAAATTGAAGATGAATGTTATCCTGAGGAAAGACGGTTGTCTAGCAGCTATCAGTGAAAGGCCAGTAGATTTCACAGATGACAACAAATGGATCGAAATGGACGGGAATGCTATGACAAACTTTCATCTAGCATTAGTGTAGACCCCATATTTTGTCCTCATCCCAGCAGCCCATACCTCACCCAGCCTGGCCACCAAGCCTCCACTAGTCCTTGTCTGCCTCCACTAGTCCTGTCTCCCTCCACTCACAATAAAAAAAATTGCATATGATATTGTATTTAAATCAACAAGTGTGATTAGTTTATTATGTTAAATCTGTAAATGGCTATAAATAGCCGGATGAAGTTGTACATTGAAAGAGAGGGGGGGGAATTCCAGACGTTTTTTTTAGAAGCAATAAACTACTAGATTGAAGGTTGTTTTCTATTTTTTATTACAGTTTCTTTATTTTTATTATTATTTTTTATTTATTTTCTGTTTTGAATTTTTAATAGTTTTTATTTATTATTTTCAATAGTTTTTATTATTATTTTCGAAATGTATGTCATTTTAGGTGTTTATAATACTAATATATTCACACATATCTGAAATTAAAAAGTAATCGAATGTTTTTATTTATTTTTTTAAAACCTAATCGACCCAACTAATAGCATAAAATAATATATAAAAATAAAAAGAGTCGAAAAACTTACCTTTGTCGAAGGAGTGTCGTCAGGTGGAAGATTCGACTAAATTGTAAGGGATTTTCTCCCCATTTTTCTCAATAAATCAAGGCAACTAAACGAATTTCAGATATGAAAACAAAAATAAAGAAATAAGGAAGAGATGGGGTTCTGGAGATCCACGGGAAAAATAGAATTTAGGGGAAGGAGTTGCTTTATTTTAATTTTGGTAAAACCACAAGTTAACTCCTCCTTATTTCATAGCTTTTTGTGTTCTAGTCACTAATTTAGTTTAATACTATTAGATCCCTTCTTTTCCATGTTACATTTAAATCATTATATAGGGTCAAATCACTCCTAAGTCCCCCTAGTCTAACCATATTTTAATATTGGTTATTATGCTTTCGAATACTTTATTTAGTCATTATTTTACATTTGGCTTAATTATTGTTTGGTCTTTTAATTTTTTTTTTCACTATTTTAATATTTTAAATTTCTATTTATTTAATTTTTTTTTGCAGCTTATTCCTAGAATTAATTTGATCCATGAATTTTAATCCTTTCCAATTTAATTTTTTTTTATTCGAATTTTCCTTTATTCTTTTTTATTTACTCTTTTTATTTCGATTTTAATACTAACTCTTTGTGTTTGTTGTTTTTAGTTTTTTACTTTATTTATGATCTTTTTAGGATATTTTAATCAATCAAAGGTAAGTAATTGAATCGAATTTTTAAATTTTAATTTTTGCAATTAAGACAACCGATAAATTAAATGGTACCGAAAGGACAGTTCAAGGGTGCTAATCCTTCCTTGACTGTAACCGACTCCCGAGCCCTACATATTTCTGGTAAAATGCAGATCAGGTAATATGGTATCCGATCAACCTAAATATTTTGTTTAAATGATCGGTGGCGACTCCAATATTTTATTAAGTCGAAGCCCAATTCCGGACCCACCCGAAAAGCGGTCGCGACAGCTTGGCGGCTCCACTGGGAACCATCAAGTGAGTCAGGCCATAATTAATTTTTGGTTGTCTTTTTATGCGAAAATGGTAAATTTAAATTTTAATTTATTTATTCGATTCCAATTATTATCTTTGAATATTTTTCAAATAATAGTTGTACTAACGTTTTTTATGTTTTCAGATTTTTCAAAATTGTCATCTCATGCTCTATACCCGAGCTCCGAACCCTATTTAAGTGGGTGAAAGCGACGCCTTCGTGAGAATTTATTCTCCGTGCGGGCCTAGCAAGTAACCTTCGGGATTCATATACCTTATGTCTTCGTGTGAATTTATTCACCGTGCGGGCATAAGGGAATGTGTCCTCTCGAGTTAACTTGGTCCATACAAACCTGTGATGGGTTAGGACTAAGGGTCTGGTAAGCCCAAGGGGGCACCAGCAAGGAGAACTCGGGTACCATTTTAGAACTTAAACCGAGAGACCATGGAATTAGAGCCTACCCCGAAACCACATTCCAAAACCTAGGATATTTTTTTACCCTAACCATGTTTTTTGTATTTTTTTTCTTTCGTCATTTTTTTTATTTGTTTATTTTTTTTACTAACTTTTTTTGCCTTTGTGTTTGTTTTATAGCATTTGCATCATAACAAGAGGCTATTGATCCCTAAAAATAGTTTGTTACACAAGAAATAATCTAAATTAATGGACAAAGGTGTTGTAATACAAGATTAAACGCCGAGGCACGACTATGGTCCGAGAAGACGCAGAAAGAGAAGGGAGATAGTCTTCAGAGTAACTATGTATCAGAGCTGGTTAGCTACGCATCTGTCAGCCTGAAACAGAAAATGTCCAAGAGCTGCGGAACATTTGGGACAGTTGGAAGATGACAAAAGCAGAAGTTTAGCCAACGATATGGTGATATTGCCCTCTTACTACATGTCAAGACTGATGAGCCCCTGCTCCGAGCATTGATTCAATTCTGGAACCCAGGATATAGTTGTTTCACCTTTAACCGGGAGGATATGGTGCCCACCATCGAAGAGTATACTACCCTATTGCACTGCGAAAGTATCAGACTAGAGAGGGTATATATCAAACACATCAAGAGTCAACCTTTCAAGAACGGACTGGCTAAGATTGCAGGGGTTGATGAAAAATGGGTAACTGATCGACTCCGACACAAAGGTAATGGGGAAGGAATCGAGTGGATCCACATAAAGCAACTAATGAAGAACCACCCTGATGAATGGAAGACTATAGACCTTTTTGCACTGGGTCTGTATGGTTTGATTATATTTCCGAAGATCCTTGGGTGCATTGATGCAACCGTTGTAGAACTATTTAAACAACTTCCAAGGCGAGTCAACCCAGCACCGACCATTTTGGCCGAGACCTTTCGGTCTCTTAATCATTGCAGAAGAATTGGTGGAGGAAGGTTCATTGGGTGTGTTCAGCTTCTTCAAGTTTGGATTCACAACCATTTCTGGAAGACTAACGGGGTCGCCTACCGCCGATTTAGCACCACCTATTCACCTTTGGGAGAGTTCATCACTATAAAATGGCATGAAGGTGCTACCAAGGAAAAGTGGATGAAGGTATTCACTCATCTTCAGGACCGAGATATTACCTGGAGAGCCCCCTGTTATTCCTCAGTGACATTCTTTACCGTGTGGGGATTCTGATACTATGACCTTACTTGGACTTTGGGGCGCAGTTGGGTATGCTCCGTCGTTAGCACTTAGACAATATGGGGCACGTCAGTTCATCCCGGCCACATACGGATTATCTATATCAGAGTTTGTGTACCACGGTGATAACTATAAAAAGATGATCAAAGAAGTAGCTGACTCATGGAAAAAATTGTTCCGAATGGATATTGTAGCTGCAAGAGACATGCTTACTCCGGATTATGTAGAATGGAGAAGATTGAGAAAAAATGACAACATCCCGGTTCCAGACTGTGAAGACACCCGGACCATGGAGGAACATCTCAGGTATGTCCCTTCCGAACTGGAGATAGCCAAGACCGAGTTTGAAGCTATGAATAATGAGCTGAAGCAGAAGGTAAGGGAACTTGAAGTTGAACGATACCAATGGAAGTTAGACGCCGATACTCAGAAAGATCGAGCAGATAAACTGGGGAAAGAACAGAAGAAAATCCATTTCGAGCTTGAAGACTTGAGAAAGGGGTATCAAGATAAAGTCAAGGATAACTCCAATTTGAAAAGAACTTCTGAATACTGGAAAGATGAAGCTCATATCCTAAAAAGGAAGTTTGAGGGGTATGATGAGAAGCTGAAGACTACTCAGAGGCGCTTAGCAGGTAGTCAACATCATAACCAATGCTTGAGAATCCAAGTGGCTGATCTGGAGAAACAACATGAGAAAGATGGCAAAACAATAGCTGAGTTAGAAGCCATTCTTGATGAACTCAAGAAGCAAGCAAGCTCAGCAAAGGGTGAAGGCTAGAGACGTAGTCATCCGAGATTTCCTGGATCAAGTACAGAAGGCAGCCTGTCATCTACATGGCTTGGCAAGGGAAGCCGGAGTGGTTCGACAGAACATTCAACCAGTAACAGATGAAGGAAGAAGACTTGTCAATCTTTTAGAAGATGTTCGGGGTCTGGAGGATTTAGTCCAGATATACCTTTGATTGTTTTTATGTCTCTTATAAGATAAAACGCTTTTGTTTAAATAAGGATTATTTATAATAACAAACACTTTTCTGGATCAATGCCTCTAAATTGCATACATCATGCATTGCATACTTTGCATTTTATATTTCATGTTTATTTTTTATATTTTCCATGTTTTTACATTCGTATTAACTAACAGAACATGTCTCAGAAAGAACAAATACCAAGAGCTCAAGACACACATCATCCGCACAATACTCGAACAAAAAAGAGACAGATGGAGGCCAGAATGGAAAAACTCGAGGAGAACATGTCAAGATTGCAAAAAGAACTGGAAGATAAGATGGCCCAGAACAATCAAAGTACCCTAGAATCCATCAAGAAAAACCAGGAGTCCTTGGTCGATCAAATCGTGGCCAAGTTATCAGGCTTACAGCAGGCCAGTGCGCCAAGGGCAGGTTCATTTGAGGGGTTAACTATACCGCCAACCTCACAGGTGGTTATCTCACCCGGAGTATTACCCGAGGACTCATCCGCTACTAAAGGGAAAGTTGCATTACCCGGTGACTCATCCTCTACCAAAGGGAAAGCTGCATCTACTGTTAAGATACAAACTTTTGCAACCATCCCTGACAATCATCCGGATAATTACCATGTCCCGGATTTTGATGAGGAGGATAAAGCTAAAAAGATGGAAGAGAAAATCAGGATGTTAGAAGACCAGATGAAATGGTCAAAGGGGACCAGGACTATTATGGGGTAGATGCAATAGAGTTGAGTCTAGTTCCAGATTTGGTACTTCCACCAAAATTCAAGGTCCCTGAGTTTGAGAAGTTTAATGGGAACAACTGCCCCTCAGCACACATCACTATGTTCTGTCGGAAAATGACAGGATATGTGGGAAATGACCAACTCCTGATCCATTGTTTCCAGGAGAGCCTGTCCGTTCAGCTATCCGGTGGTACAACCAGCTCAACCGAACTCATATCAAGACATGGAAAGACTTAGCCAATCTTTTTGGAGCAGTACAAGCATATCAACGATATGAGACCAGACCGGGTTATGCTCCAAAGCTTGGAGAAAAAGCATAACGAGAGTTTCCGACAATACGCACAGCGTTGGAGGGATTTGGCTGTGCAAGTTCATCCATCCTTGGATGAAAAGGAAACTAGAAAGTTGTTTGTACAGACCCTGAAGGCACCTTACTTCGGGCACCTAGTGGCAATCACATCAGGAAGTTTCTCAGATCTAGTTATGGCCGGTGAAATGATCGAATTAGCCATAAAACAAGGAAAAATTGAGGGAGGTGACTCCAGTAAGAAGTCTCTCGTGAAGAACAAAGAACGAGAGATCAATAATGTCAACACCTACAACCCAAACAAGGGTGTTACGATCTCAAGTTCAAATACCACTGCAGCTGTACCATCTGGTACTTCTAAACAGAACCAGAGAGAACCAAGAAAGGAAAGGGAAAGAGAGCAATTCGATCCCATTCCCATGACATACAAAGAGTTATACCAACAGCTCTTTGATACTCACGTTGTGTCGCCTTATCCTATGGATCCAATAAAGCCCCTTACCGAGATGGTTCGACGAGAATGTTAACTGCGAATATCATGGTGGTGTACAGGGGCATTCAATCGAAAATTGTCTCACATTCAAGAGGCTTGTACAACGAATGCGAAATAAGAATTGGATCACTTTCAACTCCGGAACACCAAACGTCGCCCAGAATCCCTTGCCAAATCATCAAGAGACTGGAATTAACGCAGTCACCATCGAGAAGGGCAAGAGAGTCAAATTGAGTGTTTCAGAAGTTAAAGCTCCTTTGGTTTGGGTATGGAGCCAAATGGTAAAAGCAGGGCTTCTTGCACTATATCCAGATACAGCAGAAATGAATACGGTAACCATTGTTGTTACCACAATGAAGAAGGGCATAAAGTGCAAGATTGCCCAGAGTTCAAGACATTAGTCCAACTCATGATGGACAGAAAAGAGCTGGAGTTTTACGAAGAAGTTCAGGATTCCCCGGAAGCAGACGTTTGCGCTACCGGAGAATCATCAGAAAGAAGATTTGGTAGGGGAAGTCCATTGGTAATTACCCCTAAAGCAAAGACGACGACAACAACTCAAGCAAAGGTGGTGATCACAGCACCTCGGCCTTTTCAGTACAAGGACAGTCGACAAGTGCCATGGAAGTACGAATGCCAGGTGAGTACTTCCAAAGAATGTGATAGCAAAGTGGGGCAGAGACCACTTGAGCTTTTCAAAGAAGATGTATTGGCTATCAATGAACCTATAAAGGAGGAAGAAGTTAAAGAATTTCTCAAATTCTTGAAACATAGCGAGTACAGTGTTGTAGAACAGCTTCACAACTTGCCAACGCGCACTTCAATGTTGGCACTTTTGTTAAACTCAGAGGCACATCGGGAGGCACTGTTGAAAGTCCTAAATCAAACGTTCGTGCCACAAAACATACCAGTCAGCAAGATGGATCGACTGGTGAACAATATTCAAGCTGATAATCTCATCTCATTTTCAGATGATGAGATTCCATCCGGAGGAAGAGGCCGAACAAAGGCATTACACATCACTACATATTGCAAAGGGCATGCCCTACCAAGTGTATTGATCGATAACGGATCGGCCCTAAATGTGATGCCTTTGATTACATTGAAGAGGCTGCCAATGGATACCTCTCATATGAGAGCCTGTCAGAACGTGGTCCGAGCATTTGATGGGACCAAAAGAGAGGTAATTGGCAAGATTGAGGTGCCGCTAACGATCGGACCGGCCACCTACAATGTTGAGTTTCTAGTGATGGATATCATATCTTCCTATAACTGTCTTTTGGGAAGGCCATGGATTCATCAAGCAGGTGCAGTACCATCCACTCTGCATCAAAAAGTTAAGTTTGTTATCGACGGGGCCTTAGTAATCATTAATGCTGAGGAAGATATCGTGGCAAGTGTGACCACGGATGCCCCGTATATTGAAGTAAACGATGAAGGTGTAGAATGCTCATTTCGCTCCTTAGAATTCGTGAATGCCACATTCGTAGCAGAAGGAAAAATGATTCCTAAACCCCGACTATCCAAGTGCACCAAAATGGAGGTCAAGCAAACCTTGGGACGAGGCGCTAAGACTGGAAGAGGGTTTGGGAAGCATTTACAAGGAAAGATTAATCCAGTCATTCTTATTTCAAAATTAGAGCAGTTTGGGCTTGGTTTTCAGCCCAATTATCATGAAAAGAGGAAGGAAATCCAGAAGAAACGGGAAAGAAGATTAGCCAGGTTGACTGGAAGCGAGTTTCAACGGGAACCAATGGTATTCCCACCTCTGTATCACACATTCAAGTCAGGTGGTTATGTATTTGAGACCACCTCATCCGATTTAGAAGTGGCTTTGAAAGATTTGAATATCAATGTCGTGACTACAGAAGATGCGGACAACGCCAATAAATCTGAAATCTACCCTCTGCCACCTGGGTTTGTGCCTAGCAACTGGTCGGTGGAAGAACTACCTGTGGTTTACAAGAGTCTTTCAGAGTAATATTCGAACTATCCCTATTTGCCTATACCCGGGGCAATAGGTTATCTTTTGTAAGGGTGAATAAACATTGTTTTAAATTCAATAAAAGATGCGAATTTTCTTCATGTCAAACATTTTTCTTATTTCATTTCTTCTGAAACCATTTTTTCAATACTCCATTATATTCTCTTTCAAATTTAATTTTTGATTGTTTCGTGTGGGATATTTTCCTCTCACACATACACATTTTCTTTCCTTCAGGTCCCCAGATAACGATAATGTAGGCACTGATGATCCTGATCCGGAGGTGGATTTTGAATCGGCCATTTGTCTTGGGGAATTCGATGAATGCGAAAATGAGGAAAAGTGCAACTTACCTACCGAATTATTGAGAATGGTAGAAAGAGAAGAGAACCAAATACTGCCACATGAGGAAAAGATCGAAATCTTCAATCTGGGCACTGACGAGGATAGAAAGGAGGTTAAAATCGGTACAATTCTTTCAGATGAAGCAAGACAAAACTTGATAGTCTTACTTCAAGAGTACAGAGATGTGTTCGCTTGGTCATATCAAGACATGTCGGGACTAGACACAGATATGGTAGTCCACAAATTGCCTATCAAACTAGGATGCAAACCCGTGCAGCAAAAGCTGAGGAGAATGCGACCAGAAATGCTCCTTAAGATCAAGGAAGAAGTCAAGAAGCAATTTGATGCTGGTTTCCTCCAAGTGGCCAAATATCCGGAATGGGTGGCCAACATCGTGCCTGTGCCAAAGAAAGACGGGAAAGTACGTATGTGTGTCGATTACCGGGACCTTAACAAGGCAAGTCCCAAAGACAACTTCCCTCTGCCACACATTGACACATTGGTGGACAATACAGCCGGGAACGCTTTCTTTTCATTCATGGATGGATTCTCAGGATATAATCAGATCAAGATGCATCTTGAAGATATGGAGAAGACCACATTCGTCACAATGTGGGGAACTTTCTGTTATAAGGTGATGCCCTTTGGATTGAAGAATGCTGGTGCAACATATCAGAGAGCTATGGTGACCCTGTTCCATGATATGATGCACAGAGAAATCGAGGTTTACGTCGATGACATGATTGTCAAGGCACAGACCGAGAATGAACATGTCGAGAATTTAAGAAAACTCTTCCAAAGATTGAGGAAGTTCCAGCTGCGACTGAACCCGAGCAAGTGTACCTTCGGGGTAACATCTGGGAAGTTGTTAGGATTCGTAGTCAGCAGGAAAGGGATTGAGGTTGATCCTGATAAAGTTAAGGTTATCCAAAATCTACCTCCACCACGAACACAGAAAGAGGTCCGAGGTTTTCTGGGCAGATTGAACTACATAGCACGGTTCATATCTCAGTTAACCGAAAAATGTGACCCAATCTTCAGACTTCTTCGAAAAAATAACCCCGGAGCATGGGATGAAAATTGCTAGATTGCATTTGAAAAAGTAAAGGAGTATTTATCTCACGCTCCAATCCTGATGTCCCCTATCCCAGGCAAACACATGTTCTTATATCTATCTGTATTCGAGAACTCAATGGGGTGTGTCCTGGGTCAACATGATGAGTCTGGAAAGAAGGAAAAAGCCATATATATTTAAGCAAGAAGTTCACCGATTGCGAGGTCAGATATCCTCCTATCGAGAAGGTTTGCTGTGCTTTAGTCTGGGCTACAAAGAGACTCAGACAATACATGTTGTATCACACTACATGGCTGATATCTAAGTTAGATCCTCTAAATACATGATGGGTGTACCTGCTCTATCTGGAAGGTTAGCCCGATGGCAGATGCTATTGTCTGAATTTGATATCGAGTACGTAAGCCAAAAAGCAATAAAGGGAAGTGCCATATCAGATTTTTTGGCAAGCAGAACCGATGAGAACTATGAGCCGCTAAGCTTTGACTTCCCAGACGAAGACTTGATGGCTATCACCTTAGAAGAGGCAAGTACTTCTACCTACAGTTCCTGGAGAATGCATTTTGATGGTGCATCAAATGCATTAGGACATGGCATCGGGGCAATACTGATTTCCCCAGAAGGGAATCATTACCCATTCACTAGCAAATTGAATTTCGATTGCACCAACAACATGGCAGAATATGAGGCTTGTGTTTTGGGAATTCGAGCTGCAATGGGGCAAAATATCAAGACCTTACGGGTATATGGAGATTCAGCCTTAGTAATCTATCAGCTCCGTGGAGAATGGGAAACCAAGGATGTAAAGCTGGTAGAGTATCGGAAGCTAATAATGGATCTACTCGAAGAGTTTGATGAAGTCACATTCCACTATGTGCCGAGAGAAGAAAATCAAATGGCTGATGCCTTAGCTACCTTGGCAGCCGTATTCAAGGCTGGTGGGGAGTCTGAAATGATGCCAATTGACATGCAATCGTATATGTACCCGGCTCATTGTTACCAAGTCGAAGAGGTGAAAGACATTAAGCCTTGGTACCATGACATTTTGTAATACATCAAGAATCGGAGTTATCCAGAGGAAGCCACCGAGACTGACAAAAGAACCATTAGAAGGATGGCAGCTGGATATGTCCTTAACGGGGATGTCTTGTATAAGAAAAGCCATGACCAAGTCCTATTAAGGTGTGTAGATGCAGAAGAGGCAAAAATGATAGTGGAAGAAGTACATAACGGAGTTTGTGGAACACATGCAAATGGGCACATGATGTCAAGACAAATAATGAGATGCGGATATTTTTGGTCAACACTGGAAAGTGATTGCATCAACTACGCTAAAACATGTCATAAGTGTCAGATTTACGGAGATAAAATAAATGTTCCACCTCATCCACTTCATGTGATGACATCACCATGGCCTTTTTCTATGTGGGGCATGGATGTTATCGGGCAAATCCATCCGAAGGCTTCGAATGACCACCGTTTCATTCTCGTGGCAATTGATTATTTCACCAAGTGGGTAGAGGCTGCTTCCTACGCTAGTGTTACTCAGTCCACTATTTGCAAGTTTTTGAAGAAAGAAATCATATGTCGGTATGGTTTACCTGAAAGAATCATTACTGATAATGCTACAAACTTGAACAACAAAATGATGAAAGCTGTTTGTGAGCAATTCAACATAAAGCATCACAATTCTACTACCTACAGACCAAAGATGAACGGAGCAGTAGAAGCAGCAAACAAAAACATTAAAAAGATAGTGGAGAAAACGACTGAGACCTACAAAGACTGGCATGAGAAATTGCCTTTTGCTTTGTTCGCTTACCGAACCTCGGTACGAACCTCGACTGGGGCAACTCCATTTTCACTAGCTTATGGAATGGAAGCAGTACTACCCATTGAAGTAGAAATTTTGTCATTACGGGTCTTGACAGAGGTCAAACTGGATGATGCAGAATGGGTACAATCTCGATACGATCAGCTGAACCTGATAGATGAAAAGAGACTGAAAGCCATTCATCACAGTCAAATCTATCAGAAACGAATGATTCGGGCACATGACAAGAAGGTGCGCCCGAGAATATTTCGTGAAGGAGACCTAGTGCTAAAGAGAATTTGGCCAATCCATAAAGATTACAGAGGAAAATGGATGCCAAATTGGGAAGGACCTTATGTCGTAAAAAAGGCCTTTTCCGGAGGAGCCCTTGTCCTTGCTGAAATGGACGGACCAGAACTGCCACATCCTATCAATTCGGATGCAGTCAAAAAATACTTCGCTTAGGATGAAAACTCGAGATGGCATCCTAAGTCGAAAAAGAAAAAGAAAAAAAAAAGAACAAAAAAGAGAAAAATGTTTAGGGTGAAAACCCGAAAGGGCACACTAAATAGAAAAAAAAAGAAGAAAAAAACAAAAAAAATAAGGTGGGTTCAAGATGAAAACCTGTAAAGGGCGTCTTGCAACCAAGGATGGGTCCAAGTTGAAAACCCGAAAGGGCGATTTGGATATTAATTCAAGAAATCCAGACATCCTGGCATCTGAATCCTCTACAAGATTAACGAGTCGGAGAAAGGTTGCACTTTCCTGAACATTGTCGCATCTTCAAAGATCCCTCGGCAAAGGTTGCGTTCAAGGTCACTTAACGGCTTATCAGTTCAACAGTACCCACATTATCAAGATCTAAGACATTCATTCACACTTCATCATATATCATTTTCCAAATGTTTGTCATTTGTTCTTTTCCCTTATGAATAAAGACAATCTTTTCTCTAAATCAATTCCTTTTGAGCATCTTGGGTTGAATTTAAACCTAATGATTTATTTACTTTTGCAAAAGATAATTGTATATTACTGTACAAAGACTCTTTGAAAAGTACAGGTACTCGGAAAGTCGATCAAGGCTCATGCACATAATTGAGATGGTCGATAACCATTTTCCAAATCAAGGATAAAAAATATCAGATTTAAATATTTGAAGAATTCAAGATCGGGAATTAGAACTTCAAGATTCCAGAATCAAGACACAACAAGACAGGCAATCGGAGATCGAGATTTCTCTCCAGAACCCAAAATAGCATATGTTGCATATGCATTTTAGGCATACCTAAGAGCATTGCATCCATAGCATCGCATATATGCATAACTTTGCAGGTTCTAACTAGAGTCAATTTCAACTTCACAACGAAGGATATTGGACTCGAAACATCCACGATTTCAACTTCACGACGAAGGATATCGTGCTCACAAACAACATTGGATTTCAACTTTACAGCGAAGGATATCCAATTCAAAGCTCAACTCCACAGCGAAGGGGCTTCCCAGTTTCATTCAGAGCCAATTTCAACTTCACGACGAAGGATATTGGACTCGAAACATCCACGATTTCAACTTCACGACGAAGGATATCGTGCTCACAAACAACATTGGATTTCAACTTTACAGCGAAAGATATCCAATTCAAAGCTCAACTCCACAGCGAAGGGGCTTCCCAGTTTCATTCAGAGCCAATTTCAACTTCACGACGAAGGATATTGGACTCAAAACATCCACGATTTCAACTTCACGACGAAGGATATCGTGCTCACAAACAACATTGGATTTCAACTTTACAGCGAAGGATATCCAATTCAAAGCTCAACTCCACAGCGAAGGGGCTTCCCAATTTCATTCAGAGCCAATTTCAACTTCATGACGAAGGATATTGGACTCGAAACATCCACGATTTTAACTTCACGACGAAGGATATCGTGTCCACCAGCAACATTGATCTTTTGATTGGATTTTAACGTCACGACGAATGATATCCAATTAGATGCTCAACTTCACAACGAAGGGGTCATCCACGATTTCAACTTCACAGCGAAGAATATCGTGTCCACCAGCAGTAATGCAACCCACGATTTCAACTTCACGACAAATGATATCGTGCTCAACTGATTGACTTGATTTCACAACAAATGAGTCATCAACAACAAAAGGGATTCATTCCTCAGCCCAGTTACAGCATAACTCAAGGCGATATGAGCTATATGTCATCAAAGACCTTCGAGTTCGATTTCATTCAGCTCATAGGCATATCAAACGCATGGTAGCAACAAGGAACTACCTTCTGGAAGAATTTTCAAGCCGAAATCTTCAAACCAAGAAGAAGACCAAGGCCCAATTCTAGGCTCAGGCTAAAGCCCAATTACAGTTACTCCCCAACAAATGTATCAAGTCTCAAAACAAAAAAAAAGTATCGGACAAAAACTGGTTGTCTTTTTTCGTCTTTGCCCTATTCTTGTTAACACAAGAATGTGCAAAGAGGGGCAGCTGTAGACCCCATATTTTGTCCTCATCCCAGCAGCCCATACCTCACCCAGCCTGGCCACCAAGCCTCCACTAGTCCTTGTCTGCCTCCACTAGTCCTTGTCTCCCTCCACTCACAATAAAAAAATTGCATATGATATTGTATTTAAATCAACAAGTGTATGATTAGTTTATTATGTTAAATCTGTAAATGGCTATAAATAGCCGGATGAAGTTGTACATTGAAAGAGAGGGGGGGAATTCCAGACGTTTTTTTAGAAGCAATAAACTACTAGATTGAAGGTTGTTTTCTATTTTTTATTACAGTTTCTTTATTTTTATTTTTATTATTTATTTATTTTCTGTTTTGAATTTTTAATAGTTTTTATTTATTTATTTTCAATAGTTTTTTATTATTATTTTCGAAATAGTATGTCATTTTAGGTGTTATAAATACTAATATATTCACACATATCTGAAATTAAAAAGTAATCGAATGTTTTTATTTATTTATTTTAAACCTAATCGACCCAACTAATAGCATAAAATAATATATAAAAAATAAAAAGAGAGTCGAAAACTTACCTTTGTCGAAGGAGTGTCGTCAGGTGGGAAGATTCGAACTAAATTGTAAGGGATTTTCTCCCCATTTTTCTCAATAAAATCAAGGCAACTAAACGAATTTCAGATATGAAAACAAAAATAAAGAAATAAGGAAGAGATGGGGGTTCTGGAGATCCACGGGAAAAATAGAATTTAGGGGAAGGAGTTGCTTTTATTTTAATTTTGGGAAAACCACAAGTTAACTCCTCCTTATTTCATAGCTTTTTGTGTTCTAGTCACTAATTTTAGTTTAATACTATTTAGATCCCTTTCTTTTCCATGTGTTACATTTAAATCATTATATATAGGGTCAAATCACTCCTAAGTCCCCCTAGTCTAACCATATTTTAATATTATGGTCATTTTGCTTTCGAATACTTTATTTTAGTCATTATTTTACATTTGGCTTAATTATTGTTTGGTCTTTTAATTTTTTTTTCGCTATTTTAATATTTTAAATTTCTATTTTTATTTAAATTTTTTTTGCAGCTTATTCCTAGAATTAATTTGATCCATGAATTTTAATCCTTTCCAATTTAATTTTTTTTTATTCGAATTTTCCTTTATTCTTTTTTATTTACTCTTTTTTATTTCGATTTTAATACTAACTCTTTGTGTTTGTTTGTTTTAGTTTTTTACTTTATTTATGATCTTTTTAGGATAATTTTAATCAATCAAAGGTAAGTAATTTGAATCGAATTTTTAAATTTTAATTTTTGCAATTAAGACAACCGATAAATTAAATGGTACCGAAAGGACAGTTCAAGGGTGCTAATCCTTCCTTGACTGTAACCGACTCCCGAGCCCTACATATTTCTGGTAAAATGCAGATCAGGTAATATGGTATCCGATCAACCTAAATATTTTGTTTAAATGATCGGTGGCGACTCCTAATATTTTATTTAAGTCGAAGCCCAATTCCGGACCCACCCGAAAGGCGGTCGCGACAATTAGCAGATGAAGTATTGTCAAGCATCGAGGAGAAGAAAACAACTAAGGAGATATGGGATCATCTCACCAAATTGTACGAGGTCATATCGTTGCACAATAAAATTTTCCTTAAGAGGAAATTGTACACTCTCCGTATGCCAGAATCTACTTCAATGACGGAGCACTTAAACACGCTGAACACTTTATTTTCTCAGCTTACATCATTACGATATACAATAGGAGAACAAGAACGTGTTGAACTTCTACTTCAAAGTCTACCTGATTCGTATGATCAACTCATCATCAACTTGACAAACAGTAATGTCACCAGTCTAGTCTTCGATGATGTTGCAGCTGCTGTTCTACAAGAAGAAAATCGACGCAAGAACAAGGAAGACAGACAAGTAAATCTACTACAAGCAGAAACGTTGACAAAGATGAGAGGGAGATCAACAGAACGTGGCCAAAGTAGTAGTCACAAACATGGTAGATCGAAGTCGAGAAGCAATAAGAATTTAAAGTGCTACAATTGTGGAAAGAAGGGTCACTTGAAGAAGGATTGTTAGAGTCTAAATAAAAACTCCAATCCACAAGGCAATACCGCAAACACTGCAGATGATAGAGATGCTCTATGCTGTGAAGCGTCAACCACCGTGGAAGGTAGAAAAAGATTTACAGATATATGGCTCATTGATTCAGGAGCAACATATCACATGATCTCAAGAAGAGAATGGTTCCATCATTATGAACCTGTCTTAGGAGGATCTGTGTATAGTTGCAATGATCATTCCTTAGAGATCGTTGGCGTGGGAACCATCAAATTGAAGATGTATGATGAACAATTAAAGTTGTTCGAGATGTGCGGCACGTGAAATACTGAAGAAAATTTTATTATCCTACGGATTGTTGGATAATAATGCAAGCAAGATTGAAACACATAAAGGAATCATGAAGGTGTTCCATGAAGCGCTTGTGGTGTTGAAAGGCGAAAAGATAGCAACAAACTTGTACATGTTGAAGGGAGAAACTTTGCTAGAAGCAGAAGCCTCTGTTGCCTTATGTAGTTCAGATTCTGCAATGCTATGGCATCGGAAACTTGGACACATGTCAGAACAAGGAATGAATATCCTTACTTTGTGTGAGCATTGCGTAACAAGTAAGCAGCACCTGTAGAAATTCAACACATCAAATTCTAGAGGCAAAAGTGTTTCAGAACAGATAATGGAAGAGAATACACAAGTGAAGAATTTGATGAATTTTGCAGGAAAGAATGCATCAAAAGACAGTTCACAGTGGCAAACACTCCTCAACAAAATGGAGTGGCAGAGCGGATGAACAGAACCTTGTTAGAACGAACAAGAGCAATGTTGAGGGATGCATGCCTAGAAAAATCATTCTATCTTTCTCCTAATACTAGAGAATTTAGAGAGTTTCCTGAGAGTTGTTTTCTCTTTTTTATCAAGAGAGAATTATCATTTTCTCCTTGGTCGATCGAGAGAAGTTGTAATTCCTATTTTCTCATAGTGAAATTCTTCTACCGTTGCCTGTAGTTTTTTACCCTATATTATTTAGGGGTTTTCCACGTAAATTTTGTGTCTCATTTAAATTCATTTTTATTTTCTCAATTTATCAGTTTTGATTTTGATCTATCCGATAGCCGTCTTCCGCAACAATAATCATCTTAGAACACAACTTCTTCCTTTTCTTTTTTCATATTCTTCTTTCCATAATTTGGATCGATTACAAGATAGTATCTATTGTGGCATAAGAACTTGGTGGAACTAATCTATTGGTGCCATGAAAAGAAGGAACTACTCCTTGTTTATGAGTTCATGACTAATGGAAGCTTGGATTCACATCTTTTCAATCCAGAACGGTGTTTAACATGGACGGAAAGGTATAAAATTGCCCAAGGATTGGCCTATTCGTTGCATTACCTGCATTTCGAATGTGAACCGTGTGTGCTACATAGGGACATAAAAGCAAGCAACGTTCTGTTGGATTCAGATTTGATTGCCAAACTTGGAGATATCGGTTTGGCTCGGATTGTGTCCCATGAGAAAGCACTGCAGAGCACAAAAATCGGAGGGACGTTCGGGTGTATGGCTCTGGAGTATGCTTTAACAGACCGAGCTAGCCAACAAGCAGATGTTTATAACTTCGGGATAGTTATTTTGGGGATCGTTTCCGGACGAAAGTCGATATTGCCCAACGTGGACGAGGATCGAATATACACAGTGGAGTGGCTTTGGGGACTCTACGCAAGAGGAAAACTTATCGAAGCAGCCGATCCACGACTAGAGGGAAAGTACGACGAGCAACAGATGGAACGGTTGATGATTCTCGGGTTATATTGCGCTCACCCACCCGCATTGCGGTTCCCGGCCTTTGATGAAACAAGTGATTAGCATGCTTAATTTCGAGGTCTCGCTGCCGGTTCCGGATTATTTTTTCGGTTCATTTAAGGGCCCTATACTTTCATTTTTGTAGTCCTATGGTGGCACCGCTGCTTTGAGGAGAATCTGGAATCAGAAGAGAAATTCAAGCAGTAATGTTCAGAAACCATCAGCAGAATCAATATCAACCAGCATTGCTTCTTCTTCTTCTTCTTCTTCTTCTTCAGCTGCTTCCATTATGATCCAGGACGCGCCATGAATAAGTGGATCCTTCGTTTCATGAATGTTGTACTAAATTTTTACTTTCATTTTCACTTTTGATGTCGGTTAAAGTTAAAACACATGTACAAAAATAATGAATGATTATAATATAGATTAACACTAATTTGTGCATGTAAGATTTTATGTTAAAAGATAAATTTACAAAATTCTAAATAATAATTTTATAAAATTTTAAAAAAATAAATTTATAAAATTTTAAAATACGAAAAAAGATTAATAATATAAAATACATTAACTTGTTTGTGGCGGGTGCACCATCCAATCTATGTCAATATTTTTATGTAAATGAATATGAAAATAATCAGTTAATTCATTCTTAAGTTTTTTCTCCAAGTTTTTTTTTCTCTTCGTCGTTTCACTCCTTTTTTTTCTACTTTTATTTGACCGGTGATTAAACCAATTTTGATGTTAGTTGTCGACCGTTGATATTTTTTGTTTTTCGCTTATTTTTTATATTACATCTTTGCTTACTTTTCTATTTTTAGTTTTAAATAATTCTACTTATAAGACATATTTTTATATCGTTATGCACGTTTTTTTAATATCTTTTTGTACATTTTCAGTCGTTTGATTGTTTTTTTTTCTTCATTTTTATCTTTTTCTTAGGGTTGGATTTAATGACGTTTCGATTAATCAAGATGACACTTATTTGTTATCTTGATGATCTTTCCTGCTTTGGACCCTCGTATTGGATTAGGATACAGTCAGATCTATCAATGCAGTCAGATATGTTTTAATAGTTTTCATCTCTTTTTGTAGTTCATATATGCTTTGGAACCTTTGATATGTGGGTTGTCGACGATCTTTTAATAGTTTTCATCTATTTTTGTAGTTCATCTGTCGATGCAGTCAGATCTATTCGTATATACTTTTCTTTGAGTATTTTGATTGAATTTTTAACCTTTTACTTACTTGTATAATTTCAAATGACTAATTTTACGTGTTAATAGTTATAGAAAATATTCTAATTAAATATTTAGTTCACATTTATAATTATAAACATTCATTGTAATTATTTTAGATATTTTTTTAATAGAACTCATGACTTTTATTAAAAAAAATAATTAATACGATGATAAAAGTATTCATATATATTAATATTACCATATTCAATCTTTAAAGAATAGTTTTTAGTTGTTTATTACTTGAAAGGTTACATAAAATATTTTAAAAATATAAAGTATTTATTATAATAATATTTATTATCATCTAAAATAAGAATATTTTTTATAACTTTATAAATGAGTTGAGATTTGGTTAATGACACTAATTTAATTAAACGACAGATTATTAATATTATTAAAGTTAAATAAAATGATACTTGAAGCTTATCTTTTTTTTTTTTTTAAATGAACCAAACTTTTAGAGTAATTATGATATTTGAATAAAAGTTAAGTTATGAAATTCTTCATTATCGAGTAATTTCCTTCTTTTTTCTAATTTAAAATCTTAATAAAAAATAAAATCATTCTTACCAATTCCTCTTTCAAAGACAACGTTCCAGTTGACATCTAACTATATATCTACCCTATATTTAAATTAAAAATCCCACAATCACTTCGACTTATCCTAAATTATTTAACTAAACTGACATTATCACATAAAATGTTGTGGCATAATGATTGGACATTAAATCGTGGTACGTCATTCCTAATTTATTTATAAATATTAATATTAATTTTATCTATGGTAATTTAATTTTAATCAACCAAGGTGCACCATTATATGATGTATCAACATTAATCCATTAGAATACAATAATCCTTTAAATAAGAAATTAAGTTTTTTTACAAAATTAAATATTCATTAAAAATATTAAATTATAGACAATGTGAATGCTAAACTTTGTTTATATTATATTATAATTACCATCAAGTTTCGAGGAAACAAACTAGTCCGGTCGAAACCAACAAAACTTTTCTGGGGAAAGTTCAACTGTCGTTTTGCATATATATAGAGGGTTTTTTCTAAAAATTTCACCAGTAAATTAAATAATTAATCAAAGACATATTTTTTAATAATCTGAATTGATTATAAGGTAATATATATTCAAAGTTTTTTAAATTATTGATAGCGCGTATACTGTACAAATATGTTCGAATCTGAAATCTCTAAAAAGAACAACATTTCATTTTCTCACTAAAGTCACTTAATGAATTCATATTTTTAATATTTTTGAATAAATAAAATGTGTAATATTTTTTAAAATTTTATTTATAGAGTTGAGAGTTTTATGTTAATATACAAAAGTATATTTATATTAGATATTAAATACATGGTTAAGTTAGTATTTCGAATTTATTTGATATCAATTCAATTAGAAAAAAAATGGAAATATTTTTCTTTCTTTAGGAATCATCCAACATAGGACTCAAGACCTAAAGTCAATCAAAATTAAAGTTATATATCTTATCAGTATACGTAAAATTTGATCGAAATATCTATTTTTTTAATTGATAATAAATATTATTGTGATAATATTTTTTATCTTTATTTAAAATTAAAATGAAATAATAAAAAATTACTAGTATAAAAATTAAATACGTATTTAGTAAAAATAAAATATTTATTTATCATTCTAATTATAATTATTCGTTATGTAAAATTATAAAAAATATTTCCTTACATGAAATATAAATACTTAATAGTCAATAGAATAGGTTGGGATCCGGCCTGAAAAGAATGCCAGCACTGAATTTCTTGCTCCTATTGCTTGTCCTCGACGGATGATAAAATGTAATTAGGAGTTTTAAATAATTTTTTTTAAAATATGTAATAATAGTAAAATATTATAATCATTAAAAACAAACTCACAAAAAAGATACAAAGTTATTGTAAGACTTTTGCATGAACTGGTTAATATTATATCGTTGGATAAATTTAGAAATGGATCTAGAAGTATTTGGGTGCGGTTGAATGTTTTAAAAACTTTAAATTTTTACATATTTTAAACAATTTTTATATTTTTTATTGATGACTTAATTTTATTTCTTTGAAATTTTATAATTATGCACCCTTAAAATTTTAATATAATTTCTTAAATTCTCATCCTTAAAATAAAATTATATGTCCATCCATGAATATATATATATATATGGTTATTCTTTATTTGTTTAGATATATTATTATAAGTTCAAAGTTATTTTTAATAAATATATATATATATATATACACATATGATCTTAGTACACCATATAATTTTTTTTTTAGTTTTACACATATTTAGTATCGTTTGACGAATGAAAATAGATGACTGGGATTAACAGTATAAAATGAGAATATGATCACTAAAAAAATGAGTTAATCTCATCCATATATTTTCATTCATCTAACAATTTTAAATTTGTGTAAAACCAAAAGAGTTTTGCATTGTGTAACTGGATCCTAACCCATATGACTATCTATTTTGACTCATCCAATGGTCTTAAATCTGTGTAAAACTAGAAGAATTTTATATTGTGCAAGTGGATCATAACTCATGTATATATATAGGGATGGAACCATAATACCAACTCAAGAGAGCAAAGTATAATTAACAATAAAAATTGAGATGAAAACAATCCAACTAAACTAAAACCAAGAGGTATAACTATCCATTTTTATGAGATACAAGATGAAAGGTTAATTTCATAAGAATCACCTCATTTTGGGTACCATCCATCGCATATCGAGACCACCTTAATCAACAGATAGACAAAGATTAACACTTTTTTTCTCATCTGAATGTGCCCATATGAAGCTCCTAGTTAAACGTTCAATTTCCAAACAGACACCTTTCGAGAGGTAACAAAATTTACATAACATGAGAAGGTAACATATTCAACAATCAACACAGATTTAACGAGAGTTACCTGATCCACGAACGAACCTATCACGAACTTTCTGAATTAAATAGTCATAGGTTGCACGCATAACTCTCTTATGAAGCAACGCAGCAGCCAACACCCATATATCTCCTTAAATTCTCAACTTGTGAGAAGTAGAAACTCCCACTAATCTCACTTTAGAGATGTTCTTCCACATTCCGAGAGAAGAAAATAGTGGTTTTGGCACGACTTACTTGGTGCCCAGAGCTATCACAGAAATCTCAGAGAACAAGTTGAATCACATCTAATTGCGTCAAAAAGACCTCACTAAAAATGATTAGGTCATCGACAAAAAACAATTGCGAAAGCCAAGGTCACCACGTGAGAATGTGATCGGTCTCCAATTTCCATCATCAACTTTCGCTGAATAGTCAGAGTTAATCATTCCACACAATACAAATAAATAGGGCAATAAAAGATCTCCTTGACGAATCCCAAGTGTAGATTTAAAGGTCTTAGACTGTGCACCATTTCACATAACCTGAGTAAATGCCGATGAGACACAATTTTCATAACAAGTTGACGGAAGTGATCGGGACAACTCATATCATGTAACGTATAATCAATGAAAGACCATTTGAAACGATCATACGACTTTTCCAAATCAATTTTAATTATCATCCAACTTTTATGTCATGTTTTTTGATCTATCGAGTGAACAATTTATTAAAATTTAATTTAATTAGCCGACCCTTATTCTCATATGTAATGGGGTAAGGGGAGGTAGGATAGTAGGTTGCCCCCAACGTTAGGTTAAGAACAGCTTTCGTGGGAGACCTCCGAATTATGAAATACCATCCGTGGGACTCGATCCCACAACCTCAAGGTTAAGAACAATTTACTAAACAATAACAATATTATCAGATATGCTCCGTCTCATAACGAAATTTATTTGACTCTTATAAATTGATTTACGTCATGAAAATAGAATAAAAGCTTAAAATAAACTAAACTAAAAATATAATAAAAAGTCAAAATAAATTTTTTAATATAATACAAAAATCAAACTAATTATTAATCCATAAAATAATTTCATTTGATTCTTTACATTGAAATTACTATGCATATAAAAAAATGGTTAAATATTGTGTTATAAAATTTAATTCAAAATCATTTAAATTAAATAAAAATATTATAAAAAAAATCGAGTCAAACAAATTTCAAACCTAAAAGAAATTAAACACTTAAAAGCCACTAATCCAAATGGATATGAATAAATCCGATAACAATTTATTACTGATTTATTTATTTATTTATTGTAAGGATGAGAATAAAAGGGTATTTAATGATTGAACAGAAGAGGAAATTCTGTTCTAACATAATATCTTTTTTATCATGAAACCAATGGTTTGGTTGAACGAAATTTTCATTTATTTTTCACTGTGAGATATTAATACATCAAATCTTGGCCGACTCTCAAACCACGTGAATTTCCTACTAAACCCAGCCCCCATCGTTTTCTTAGCTTCTTCCCCTTTCACAATTCCCGACAGAATCCACACTGTCAAGGATACTATTAAACAACTGCCATTACTCTATGCCGAACAAATAACGATGGCTCTTCTTGTACGTTGTAGAAGGTCAGTGGTACCCAAATCTCATCACTCCGTTTGTGCATTGTGATTTCTTCTAAAAAAGTTAAAAACTCTGGGTGAAATCTGAATCCCCTGTTTGGTTGCTTTTGTTGCAATTTTTTTTTTCTTTTAGTCTTTCTAGAATTTGTTTTAAAAGGGTATATTGATAAGAGTGGAACGAAGGTAATTGAACCCACATGCAGATTCTGGGTCGGTTTGTTTTGTTGGTGATTGCCTGCTCTGTTCTTGAGTTGCATAAGGAGTTTTTACAGGTTTTTTTAGGGACTTTTGTGATGGATTGTGCTTCATGCTTGAGGTTTCTGTTTCCAGGAAACGAGTTTTCTGGATTTGGGCTTTTGGTTTTTGGTCGTTTCTCCCATGTTTTCAATGTGTTGGGGCTGGTTTTGGTGATAGGTATGGGGTTAAAGGTCTTGCAATTTGGTTTGAGTAATAAGGGTGTACTTCAATTTGTATGTGATGCTATAGGGAAATCGAATGATTCGAATTCGAAACATGAGTTGTCGGAGATCTATGATTCAAATATTCGAAAACCTGGAGATCATTGCAAAGAATTTGTCAAGAAAGATACCAATTTCGAAGCTAAATATGCTATAGAAGATGTAACTGATGAGAATGAAAAAGAATGTTGTCCTGAAGACGAAGAATTCGATGTAATGGCATTGAGGAAATTGGTTAAAACCGAAAGGAGAAGAACAAAAGCCTGTTATCAAGAGCTCGAGAAGGAAAGGCTCGCTGCTTCATCTGCAGCGGACGAGGCGATGGCCATGATTTTGCGCCTCCAGACCGAGAAAAGTTTGGTGGAAATGGAGGCTAGTCAGTTCAAGAGAATGGTGGAACAGAAGCACGAATATGATCAACGAGTCATTGAATCACTGCAATGGATTGTGATGAAACATGAATCGGAGAGGAGTTCACTGGAAAAACAACTGCTGTCGTGCAAGCAGAAGTTGAAGCTTTATATGAAAGATGATGAATTAGGCCAACTAGAACTCGATGCAGGCCTCGGCTTTTTTCAAGATTCTCAAGAACATGGTATGGAGAATGCATTACTTAGCTCACTTGAAACTTCAACTTAATTGTTGCAAGTTGTTCATGATAGTTCATTCTTAGGGTTGAGTTGAATGGTACACATTTAGGTGCTAAAAATGATGCCTTTTCGAGTTCAGAAACGAGTTAAAACACTAGAGTTTAGCTAAATATGAACACCGATTGCAGTTGTGCAAGCAGAAGTTGAAGCTTCACATGAAAGATGATGCATTAGGCCAATTCGAGAACTCGATGCAGGTCTTGGCTGTTTTTACTCAAGAAAATGGTATGTAGAATGCGTTAATTAGCCCTCTTGAAACTTAAACTTTGGTATTGAAACTTGTTGATTATAGTTAACATCAGGGTTGTTGAATTGACTAGATTTAGGTGCTCAAATCAAACGCTCATGTTCTCAAGTATGGAAAATGGGCTAAGAATACTTCTTTGTTCTCAGGAAGTCTGATTCTTCAGCTCATTTTTCTCACACAAAATGTAGCTTCATATCCTATTGAATTACCCCTTTGGTTCATCATAACTCTTAGCATTTTGTTAATGTGTGGTTTAATATGCATTGGTATATGATTTGATTAATTTCCCCCATTTTAATTTCATTTCATCAACTATTAATTAAGAGTAGTTAAGAGCATCATTGATGATTTCATAAACTATCGAGGGTGTCATTGATTTCATCTTTGCATAAAATCCAGTTTTATGAGGTTTTCTCGACATATATAGATATATTGATTATATAAATAAATATATGAATATTTATTTCAGTGATAAAAATAAGTGTTATTCTTTCTATACGTTTCGAGTTTGAGCAATTGTGTCTACTGGATACGTATATGTTCGTTGTCAATTGACTATTTTTTTAAAATGATACTACTTTATAATCACTCGCACTATATATATATATATATATATATATATATATATATATATATATATATATATATATATATATATATATATATATATGTGTGTGTGTTAAAACATTTCCATGTAACCATTTTTTCCAAAATAAAAAAAAAAATCTAACAGAAAGGTGGATTAAGGTAATGGGCGTATCAATATTAGTAATACTTTAACGAATTGACTAAATAAATGCCATTAAATCAATTGATACCAACACAGGAAAAGAAACAAACTAAATGACATGAAACTCAAATGAAATAATAGGAAATATAATATTTAATTAAAAATAAATTTTAATTTATTTGTTTTAAATTATTCAAATATTCAATTAAAAGAAAATAGAAGAACTTTTACCGTCGCCTATTGATTTTTTTTATAGACCCACTATATAAAATAAATCTAAAATAGTTTATTAAATTTAAAAAGGTATAATGTTAAAAATACTCCTGACATTTAATTGAGTATTTATTCCCTCCCCAATTTTAGAGTTTAGTTTTGGTTAATTCAGATCAATTCATGCCGCATATCTGATTTTGATATAAATCTTCGAGCAAAGATTTTTTACGTCTCGAATTCAAAATCTTCTTAAGCGATATCAAACTGGTTATTGATTGAACCACTTAACCTTTATCAGTTTAATAATTACTATTTGCTCATGGCTTCTCAAGCTTTTTCCATTCTCATTATTCTCCTTTCTGCTGTATCTATGTTTGAACTATGGTTTTTGTTTTGTCATTGCAGATGCTGCTGGTTCGGTTGGAATTAACTATGGTAGAGTGTCGAACAACTTGCCATCACTGGACAAAGTCGTGCAACTGTTAAAGTTTCATGGCATTACGAAAGTGAAGATTTTCGATTCCGATCCAGGGAATTTTGAGCGGTATACATAGATCAGAAAGTGAATATTGACTCCCTTCAAATAGAAATGTGATGAATCCCATGATCATCAACACTACAAAAAAGAAAAAGTATAAGCAACAAATTATACGTGAGAAGTAGAAGAATCGATAACATATATCATCATTTAGTTTATTATAATTAATTTAACATATGAAATTTAATTATATTCTTTTAAAGAAATATTTTTACTGATGTAGTACGTACATCAATATTTTAATATTATATCAATGAAAAACAGTGAGATGATAGATGGATTTTACTGGTTTCCTCGTCCATATAGGATTATGAGAAAAATGATTTTTTTCATATAAGACATTCACCGTATTATTTCCTGAATTATGATTATTGCTATAGTATCAATGGGAAAAAATCAAGATTACCATGTAATTTTATTTTTCCGGTAGAAGACATCGTGCAATTTTAAAATCTTTTAAGACACGAATAACACCTGACGTCTTCACATGATTATTGTAGCATTCGCTCTATATTAATAAATAATCCTGAAATTGAATTATTTTGGGAATTCTTTTTCCAACCTATTTTCTCAGCCATTTTGCTGGATTTTACTATAGAAGTTAAAACAGTTAATTAATAGTAATTTTTAAGATGCCGGTCAAGGGATCTTGCCATTTGTCGTATGTCCTTTAATTACGTGGTGTTGTTTTGTTAAGTTTTTTTTTTTAATTATAAAATGATCATTGATTACTTGTATATTTTTAATTTATTTTTTTTATTAAAAAATTGACAATCGTTTAAGTTAGATGTTAATATGTTGACTGAAATAATACAATCTGATTCTAAAACCATTTGAGTTATATTTTGTGAATCAACTCCTTATTTATATTATGTTGTCGAGTCAGTGCTTAAAATATTATGTTGTCGAGTCAATACTTAAAAGCACCGGTAGTGTTAGTAGACATCATTAAAATATGATTTTATCATATCTTAATCAATAAGTTAACGTCTAATTCAGATAATGATAATTTTTTAACGAAAAAATACGAATTTAAAATATATGAATAATCAAGTAAATAATTTATAATAATTGATAGTTAAATGACTTAATAAAATAATATTTTATAATTGAATTATTATTTTATAATTTTTAATAATTAAAGTTATTTGTGTATTTTATATTTAAATAGTGACTGCATTGAACTGATACTGAAGCAACCAACCAGATCAACCATCTTCATCAAATTCACAGCAGGAAAAGAAAATGTTGCTGCGATTCTCCCTTCAAAGAGGTAACGGAATAGTTGAAAACAAAATCAATTGCAAATAAAAAGGCTATGAATGAAATTTCTTTTTTTTAGTTTTAATTGATTTCGCGGTTTTCTTTTTGCAGTGAAGAATTTAAGGGCTTTAAGGCCTCAGATTTTGAGTTCAACAAACTTTCGTTTCTCTACAGCGACTTAATCCTCTTTAAATCAGCGAAATCCTCCTGTAAGATTTTTTTTTCCATTCTGCTATCAGAAAATCAAGACTTTTGGAATTGGTTTTGTTGAATATCTTTACCAATTGATTGATTGTACTTTACACAAAGGGTTCCTAATCTTATTGGAGGTGCTTTTGTTGATTCAAAGTCAACATCAACCATTGATGTTATAAATCCTGTGAGATCTCGCGTCATTTTTAAATATCTATAAATATATATTCCAATTTGAATGTTTATTATATTTGTTGAGTATATATATGTTGTTTGGGAAAACAGGCAACACAAGAAGATGTTTCACAGGTTCCTTTAACTACGAATGAAGAGTTTAAAGCTGCAGTTGCTGCAGCAAAGCAAGCTTTCCCATCTTGGCGCAATACCCCAGTCACAACTCGTCAGCGTATCATGTTCAAATTCTTATCCGTAGGGGCATGGTAATGAGATTAGTTCAGGTCTTTATTTGCTTTTTTAATTTTGGCATTTAGCTGACAAATGCATTTAATCTTTTTTTAAGGATAAACTGGCCAAGAATATTACAACTGAACAGGGCAAGACATTGAAGGATGCCCATGGGGATGTTTTCAGGGGGATTGGTTGGTTTCTGTATTCTTCAATATTATTGCTCTGGTTGATTGCAAAAACAGTTTCCCTTGACATTGGTGAAGAATAATAAACTTTGTCATTGTTTTTCTTGTATATTTTCTCGACATTTTTGTATAGAGGTGAGAGAACATGCTTGTGGAATGGCAACACTGCAAATGGGAGAGTATGTCCCGAATGTATCCAGTGGAATTGATACTCATAGTGTTAGAGAGCCACTCGGTGTTTCTGCTGGGATTTGCCACTTCAACTTTTCTTCTTTTTATCCCTAAAAGTTACAATTTACATATCTTTTGCTAACTAAGGTATTCACCCTTGGTGGTTAAATTTGCTCAATTAACTTGTGCTATTTCTCAATGTACTTGTTTGTTGTTCTATCAAATTGCTGGTTTATGAAACTTAGTAGTCTTCTAATACTCATTAATCAGCATTTCATTCCAATTATATTTCTTTATCGTTTTAGCAACTCGTACCGTACACGTAGGATTTTTGCTAATACCGATTGTATATTTTACTAGCTTACTTTTGTTTCTTCTTCCAAGTTTTGGTAGTGAACTCTTACCTGCTCTTACAAGAAGACCAAATTTCTCAAATGCCTAAAAGGGTAAAGTTGGTAATACTCATTTTTATGCTTTTACTGCAGATGTTCCCCGTTGCAGTTACATGTGGTAATACCTTCGTTTTAAAGCCATCGAAAAAGGATCCTGGTGAGTGCAATCTCCTAACTGTTATCATGTAGAATCCAGGGTGTTTTTGTCTTTGTTGTGCTAATGTACTGAAATGTGTTGATCCTTAAGAGGACAAAATGTTGCCATGTCTAGTTTAACCTAGGCTGGCCGTTCAAGATCTTATTTGAAAGTTGATGTTCTATTGGTAGACTTGGACTAAGTATTCCTTATAATTTCCATTGTTTACTACCCTATCCTTTTCAGTTTCATGGACAAAGGAAAAAATATGTTCTACTTCTGTCTAAATCTCCTTTTTTAAAATTTTATTTTTATGCTTTTTCCAGGGGCATCTATAATGCTGGCAGAGTTAGCAATGGAAGCTGGCTTGCCTCATGGTGTCTTAAATATTGTTCACGGTACCAATGTATGTTCTTCAGCAACATGAATTTATGAAGTGCATTATTTTTGTTTCTCCTTTTTCTCACTGTGATATTGAATTAATGATTTTTCCAAAAATGCAGCCGGCTTGGTGTAAAATGGAATTAACTTATGATGTTCAGTGGTTTGATTACATTTTATTATATATCCTCACATAATCTGTTGTGGAAGGACATTGTTAATGCAATTTGTGATGATCACGATATTAGAGCTATATCATTTGTTGGTTCCAATACTGTAAGTATGCCTTTTGTATCCAAAGCACAGAAATGATTATCTCTCTGTTACCACTTCTCAGACCATTTCTCAGATTTCATAATTGTTTGGGATATAAATATAAGTTCACTTGATTATTATTGCGGTTGTTGCTGTTAATATCACTGGTTTTTGTCAAGATTGCCATGTCTATCTTCATTTTGAT